TTTTTAATACCTAATCTCTCTGTGAATCAATTCTCCCCCAATTAGGAGGATAATGATTAAAACCAATTCTTAGGGTTGTTATGAGGATTATGGGTGCATACCTACCTTCTTCTATTTCTGAAGACTGTAAATGGTACAGCCAATTTGGAATATATTTCTCAAAAGCTAAAGAGAGCTGCTGGGAGTGGTGGTGCACACCTTTAATCCCAGCACTCAGGAAACAGAAGCAGGCATATCTCTGTGAGTTTGAGGACAGCCTGGTCTACTGGTCTATATATATATATATATATATATATATATAGCTGGGGAGACCCTGAATCAAAGAGATGGAAAAAAAGCTAAGGAGAATTATCACGAATAAGACCCAAGTAATTCTACTTCTAGATAGGCATACCTAAGAGAAGTGAAAATACATGGTCATGCAAAAATATGTGAGAATATTGATGATACAGTCACTAGTAGTCCAAAAGTACAAATCACAAAAATATCCATCAAGTGAAGAAAGAACAAAATGTGTTACCAACACACAAAGAAATATTACCCGGCCACAAAATAGAACAAGTGTATTACAACATGGATGCTCCTAAAACTAAGCAAAAGCAAGGAAACATTCATAGCAAGCAAATTCTTACAGACTGAAAGCAGACTGGTAATGGACAGAAACCGGGAGCGGAGAGACCCGGATGATTGTTATTGGTTATGGGAAGGCTACAGGATTTCCTTTGGAGTGCTAAAAATGCTAGGCAACTAGATACCCTAATTGCATCCCTCAAAAGGGTGAGTTTATGATACAGCAGTTATATCCCCATAATGAAAGAAACAGATTCTTAGAAAATGAATACCCAAAGTGCTTACAACAAATCTTGAAGCACAGAAAGTGCTATGTTGGCTTTAACAGTGTTTTTTTTTTTTTTAATTTCTTTGCAATTTAACCACACAGCAAGTTTTCAGAGGCTGACTTCTCCCCGCAGCCACTTCAGACACTAAAAGTTCAAGATTCATTCAAGATAAAATCTTCACGTATCACGCACCTAGCGGTGTTTCTCAAAGGCACCTAACTTCTTGAAAAGTACCCCAAACTGTTTATCATGGAGACAAGGAACAAATGTTCAACTCTGCCCAAATCATGCCCTTTAAAACTAAGGTGGAGAAATTAAGTGGGCAGGTATCTTTAAATAGCTAATAACTTCATGTCACCACTGGCACGTTCTCAGTGGCTTTCTATTTTGCACACGCTGTCTCCTTCAATTTTCACAACTGTCTGATAGTATTGAGGAGCACCAAACTCAAACACTCCTGAGTTCTTAAATGAGTAAACGCGCAAACTAAGCACAAATCAAACTTCGTCACTGGTGCGGTCCACATTCGAGCCCATGTCCTATGAAGGCCCCTGTCCTCACCCACTGTGGGATTCAGCCGGGCTCCACGCTGCATGTTATTTTACAAATAATCGGGAATTTTTCATTTGCAGCAGAGACAGGGGTGAAAACAATTTTCCTTAAGAAAGCAAGTTTATCACTGACCGGCGTGGTCATCCCGCAGACCATCCCACAGGGTCGGAGGGAGGTCTCGGGTTCCCAAAAGTTGGATCCCTCTCGGGTCTCCTGAGGACTCCGGGGCTCGAAGCGTGCGGCCCCGACTGCAGCCACCCGCCGGGCTGGCGTGTGGCCGGCCAAGAACTGAGAGGCCCCCGCACCAGACCCACCTCACCTCTTGGCCTTCGTACCCTTGAGCACGAGTTTGGTGGACTTCACGTAAGAGTATTCCGCCATGGTTCCAACAAGCCCCGCACTGGGGCGGCCGCCAAGTGTACAGGGTACCGAACGAGCAGGCACGGCCGGGAGGAGGAGGTGGAGACGGACGTAGAGCGGCTCGGACGACGGGAGCTAGGGGAATTCTTCAGGAGCCTGCCGCCTTTTTCATCCAAATATTTAGAGGTCAGGAGAAAGCCTTCTACTTCCTGTTTATTGTGGTCGTGGCGTTACGGCGGCCGCGGAGGCCCAAACCGTGCCAGCGTGCTTTCACTCCTGCGGCGGAGTCCCGGATGTCAGGCCTTTTCTAGCTGCGGACAGAGGCGCCCTCTGGTGGACGCAAGCGTCTCTAACAGCTGCAGACTGGAGAGATCAGTCTAGGATTTCAATAGCCAGATCTTTTCCTTTGTTTTGTTGTTTGAAATGGGTCTCACTACGTAGCCTCAGCTGGAACTTGCTATATAGACCAGGCTGGCCTCAAAGTCAACTGCTGCCTCTGCCTACAGAATGTTTGGATTATGCGGGACTAAGAGCCAGATATTCAAATAACCGAATCGACCCTCCCTTGCTGCAGCCAACAAAGCCTGATGCTTGGTGCAGCCAGGGCTGGGTCCCTGCTCAGTCAGGGAAAGTGTTGTGAGGTCAGGGCCCTGGCCTTGGGCAACTTTACCAGCTGTTTTAGCTCTGCAACTGTAGATGGTATTGTTTTACTAGAGAGCCATGAGTAATGTACAGGAAACAGGAATGATATAATGTATAGTTTTAAATTCTGGCTGCAAGAATTGCAAGTGCTGTAACTGTGGTGTCCGTGTGGTAGCTTGACGTGGAAGTTCTCCAATTATGCTCTTCTAGGTCCAATAAACAGTATTTCCCCTGCCTTCTCCACCGTTTTCCACAGGTATAACTATTCCTACTCCAAATCACCCACCACAGAGCTGCTCATGTGATCTTTTAAAAAAGAATAATCGCCTATCTTTTTGATTCCTATGAAAGAAACGTAGATGCATTCAGAATGAAAATGGAGTGGCTCTGTCAACCCTTACCAAAATAAAGTCGGAAATATATGAGGGAATGATTCTAACATCGGCCAGCTTGCAAGCTACTATCACAGAAGACTCTGCCCGAACCCAGAGCTTGCAAAGAGATTTCCACCATCTTATATAAAAAGCACTTCTGCAAGGACTTCTGCCTCCCAGCAATTGTGTGGTCTGCTGTAGTTATTAATTATGTGGCCAGGGATTGCTGATTCAAAATAACTGATTTAACATTCTGTGTTTTTCTTTCTTTATGGCTGGTGACCTGGCTCTGTGAGGACAGGAGATAGAACTGGACCAGATTGTCCTTGGTTGTCTGGCCAGGAATCCCAGAAGAGAGCTCTGGTTTTGAGAGACTAGGAGCTAGCCATATTTTTGGACAGGTTGATAGACTGGGAAAGGGCCACTGATGAATAACAAAGATGACATACTTTTGCCTTCTTGGTCTGGAACAAAGACCTGGGGGCTCCCCCTCTACCCAGCAGTACCACCTTTCTGGCCAACCAGTTCAGATCACATAAGACCCAGGCAGAACTGGGACACTTCATTTGAAGTCGTAAAACTATCAGCTTTTCTTTGTCTAAGTTGACCAATCCAAAATGTTGGGCAGGAGACCAACTAAAAGCCTGAAAAACCCAGGAGATTTCAGTTTCTGAATCTCCCACTTGTCTTTACTCTGTGTGGGTGTTAATCATCATGTTTTAAATGAAATCTGTTGTCTGTTGCCCTCTGTTGTATCTTTTTTTTTTTTTTTTTGTCTTCTGGAGATAGGTTCTTCCTGTAGCCCCAGCTGACCTAGAACTCCCTATATAGACCAGGCTGGCCTTGAGCTCACAGAGATCTGCCTGCCTCTGTCTCCAGAGTGTTGGAATTAAAGGCGCTTGCCACCATGCCCAGCTCTACCTTTAATTGTTTAATCAACAGAGAAAAACCTGACCACAACCCCTAGAATGTGACTATCCTCAATGTCTGCACTAGAAGTTTCTTATCTCCTAAATGTGTACCTTGCCTGGAGGCTGTACTGAGGGTATGACCAAAACTCCAGTCCACACACTAATCCCTTCTGGTGAACAGCTTTGGAAATGGATCTCTGGATATTCCTGGTGAAAATGAACTATATCTATCCCACCAATTTCAGCCCACTTCTTAAATGATGTTAAGGTTACCTATTCAAAGGGGGCATGGTACAGTTGCCTTGATGGGGCTCTGTTGAGGCCTATAATGGGAAGGCTATTTCCTCCTGAACAAAATTAATGGGATCTACCTGTGGCCGTGTGTGGAAACCTATCATTCTAATGTACCTAAAATTTAAGAGTTAATTCAGCTGACTTGTCACCTGTTAGAAACTATGCCTCAGGAAGGAAAGCTGATTCACCTTAAGCCATACTAAAGAGATGAAAGAAATTAAGCTGGGGTGGTGACACACGCCTTTAATTCCAGCACTTGGGAGGCAGAGGCAGGAGGATCTCTGTGAGTTCAAGGACAGCCTGGTCTACATAGTGAGTTTCACTGGGGTCACAGGGAGACCCTGCCTCAAAAAGACAGAGAGAGAGAGAGAGAGAGAGAGAGAGAGAGACTTTAGGTGAGAAGTCGGTGAACCCCCCAGTGCTCTGCCTTATGGAGCTGAAGTTTTTCTGAATTAGGACTCAGCAAGGGTAACCTTTCCCTACCCTTCTCTTTCTGTCAGCTACTGACCCAAAGCCAGGACATGCTTTCTGAGAGTTCTGGGCTTTGTTACTCTTTTTTTGTAAAGCGCCCCCTCCCCCTCCCCCTCCCTCTCTTCAGTCAAGGGTATAGGACTCATAGTTTATTACAGTATGCATTGTGTATACCACAGAAGAATCAATTGTTTTCCTCAGTTTGACCTTTCCCTGTCTATTTATCAAACACAGCTCATTTCTTTGGTGGAGGAGGAGGGAGGGAGAGAATCCTATCATCAGTTAATAAACTATTGGTGATCTTTTTTTCTCAATACTTAGCCCTTGACTTTACACTAATTGGAAAAATTTTAATGCTCTGTTTTGCTTCTGCTGCTTAGAATTCTGCCCTTTATTTCCCTAGTTATATTCCCAAATTTCTAAGGTTGCTTGGTAACAAGGATCCTGCTATAATTTCCAAAACTTATTGATTATAACAAACATGGCGGAAACTGGTTTAAAACAGTCCCAGGCCCCTTATATGGAGGTGTTTGCATCATAGAAGGAACTGGGGAATATGCAGTTTTAATAAGTGTCTCAAGTGATGCTTAACAGCTGCAAAATATTCATCTAGAACCTCTGTTTTTATTATTGGCAGCCAAAGGTAGCTTTCAGGGTTCCTGTTTAGAATAAAAATACATTTGAAAAGGGAAGTTCCATGACTAGTTACAATATCTATATATGTACCTTATTATATTGTATGCTCCTGTTGTGTTTACAGTTGATAAAGGGTCAGGGTGCTATTAAAAAAGCTGTATATTGTGGTTGGAGAGATAGTTTAATGGATAAGAGCACTGACTGCTCTTGGAGAGGACTGGGTTCAGTTCCCAGCACCCACAAGGTGGCTAATAACATGTGTAATTTTGGCCTCTGTGGGCATTGTATAACATGGGTGAACTTATATCATGCAGGCACTACACTCCTTCATATAAAATAAGAAATAAAAAGCTGTATATTTAAAAGAAGATTATACAGGGCTGGGGAAAAATAGGAAGAGTGTGAATAGTTATATTAAAAGTTTGAAGGCCAAGTGATAGAGTGTAAAGTTTCAAGTAGTACTTTGTGGCTGTGAGGGTGATTTGACTGTGATCTCTGTCACCCCATTGATTGCTAGGCTTGATTTGGCTGATCTGTCTGGCTAGACATGTGTTCCCTTCCTTCCTCAATGCTTCACATGCATCCCTCCCAGAGATGACCTTCCTGGTAGAGGACCTGTCTTCTGTCAAGGGTATATGAGTAGCTGCGCTCTCTTACTGGAACCTCCAAACAAGTTCTCAAGTAGCTCTTAGTAAGGTGCAAAAGCCTCACAAACATGTACATTTGACTTTTGGTTATCAGGCAACTGGCTCTAGAACAGTCTCTCAAGACCCATCTGTTGAGGCCAGGCTGTTTCCTGATCTAATTTACTCCATCTTGTGCACAATGCTGCTTTTCAGGATGTGTGTTGCCTTGGGTGGCTCCATTTAACAAGAAGCATTTGGCTCCATTTTGAGTCAAATGCAGAGACAGCAGAACTCTGTGCCTTGTGTACCTAAATGCCACCACCTGTCCAGCACTTCCCACAATGGACAAAGTAATAAATAACTCAGTCCTAAAAGTAAAAACACCACCACCCTAAAAAGTTACCAAAATAGATAGGGACTGTATGAGGGTGTGAGCATACATTAAACTCATACCAGAAAATCCAAGCTTGAGAATTTAGGGAGCACACCAGGCAGAGAAAGGGTGCAACAGCCTCATGGATCCCTTGAAGAGGAACCTAACACTCATGACAATAGCCACCACTGGATTGTCATCTTGCTATCTGGTGCATGAGTCAAGGGCCTGACAGGCAGTGAATTGTCACCTGGGTCAGGGGCTTCTGCTCAGCTTGATCCCCATTGCTGACATGGCCTATTTGAATTCCTTGCTGTCAGTCTGTCCATCCCTTTGTCTTCTGGACCTATGCCTCACCTCCATGGCAACTCACCTCTGTATCTTGACTCAACCCTGAAGTCCTCAACCCTGTGACTCTGCAGCTCGGCTCTGGGACTGCAGCAGCGCTCCACTGCAGCGACTCTTGGCATCTCCACCAGCTGCCTGTTCATAGCTACAGCAAGGCTTCTTTGAACTCTCTGAACTTTTTTACAGCCTCTTAAACCATTTTGTGGCTATTATGAAACCTACACACCCACACAGAAACACAAATGTACACACATATATAATTACCATGTGATGTGAAATGTGTGACCTCAGACAATATTTGTAATTAAGGAAAATTGGGATTACTTAGCAAATTTTTGCCAGTGGAACTAATATAGGTTGTGAATGTATTCTTAGTCAATAAATTCTGACATTGTGGAAAGATACAAATGTATCTGTCTGTGTTTCTGACATATTGCACTCACCCTATGCAGAAAAACTGAATAAATTCACCACCAAAATTCCTACAGCACCTATGATGTGTGGCTCAAAATTCATATCTAATTATATTTATCTAATTTGGTCCCTGTGCATTACTCATGTCTCCCTAGTGGAACAATACAATAAACAACTATG